GAGCAGGGAAGTGATAGTGCCCCTGTACTCGGCACTGGTGCGGCCGCACCTCGAATACTGTGTTCAGTTTTGGGCCCCTCACTACAAGAAGGACATTGAGGTGTTAGAGCGTGTCCAAAGGGCAACGAAGCTGGTGCGGGGTCTGGAGAACAAGTCTTATGAGGAGCGGCTGAGGGAACTGGGGTTGTTTAGCCTGGAGAAAAGGAGGCTGAGGGGAGACCTCATCACTCTCTACAACTACCTAAAAGGAGGTTGTAGCGAGGTGGGCGTCGGTCTCTTCTCTCAAGTAACTGGCGAAAGGACGAGAGGAAATGGCCTCAAGTTGCGCCAGGGGAGGTTTAGATTGGATGTGAGGAAAAATTTCTTTACTGAAAGAGTGGTTAAACATTGGACCAGGCTGCCCAGGGAAGTGGTTGAGTCCCCATCCCTGGAAGTATTTAAAAGACGTGTCCATGCCAATGGGGCTAAGTAAGAGGAAGGTAGATTAAATAAGGATGTTGTAAGCATTTTTTTGCCCAACAGTAAAAATATTACCATGAGGCTAACAGTCAAAAAGTTAACGCTATTTTCTCTAATGCTTGTATTTCTATGTTAATTAAGTGAATATGGGCTATCTTTTGAATTTAGATTCTAAAGCAAGCAGGCAGTTTTCTCACAGTCTATGTCAGCCTATATTTTGGAATTTACATCCCAAATGTTTTATTTTAATCTTTTCATCTTGCAGTTTACTTAAATTGTGCCTTTGTTTTAGCTGCCGTTTTTATTCTAACTTGCTAGTGTAATTCCCTTCACAGTGGAAATCTAGAGCAACCCCTTACTGCTAAATCAATTGGAATGTTACCAATTCCAACTGAACATTCAGACTGAATCTAGTTTGCATCTCGTAGATAAAGAAGGGAAAAACATTTTTTAAGATTTGTGGATTTGTGGATCTTACCCGTTTTTTAGATACAGCTTTAGCAGGCCTTGGTACTGCCTTTCCTCCTGAAGGTCCACTTTGGCCCTGAAATGAGAACATACCCAATGTAAACCTTCAAAGCACCTTGTTTCCTAATTTAACCAAAGCAGAATAAAAGTTTAATGTGCTTACTAATGTTTGCTGCAATGGTATGTTTCAAAAGCCAAGTATACCAGTATTTTGTCTATAAATCATTTCAATGTAAGGCAGTCACTTTCATAATGGTGGTTGAGTCACCATCCCTGGAGGTATTTAAGACATGTAGACGTGGTGCTTAGGGACATGGGTTAGTGGTGGACTTGACAGTGCTAGGTTAATGGTTGGACTCGATGATCTTAAGGGTCTTTTCCAACCTAAACAATTCTATGATTCTATGATTCTAATACAAGACAGCAGTTTATCAGCATCAAAAAATGCTAGGCTCTATCCTTGTTACTGCCTATCTGTGATACACCTAAATGTCACACACACAGGGTTCTAGTGCCTTAATCAAACACACAGAAAGGCTGCTCTTGCCTCAAATGCTTGCATGTCACAGTGAGCCCGGAGACAGCAGATCCACACCTACAAAGCCACGAGTGCTGAAAAACACTAATCAGTTGTTTACAGGGAGCCTTATAGAGTATTTCTAAGTGATATTACCCAGAGGTTAAGGAATAACAGAAGGGCACCAGTGACAAAGCTTTCTGAAAAATTTACAGAAAGTGGGAGTGGAAATGAAGAGGATCCTTTTGAGAAGATGCTGAGGGCCAGACAGGACCAAGAACCCAGAAGGCAGAGGTAGAGAGAGCTGATAAATCAAACAAAGGAGACAACATTAGAAACCTTGGCAAGAACAGTTTTAGGATGGATCCCAGATAACATTGGATGGAATGGATGGGAAAAAGCAAAGGAGTTACTTGGAAAAAGTGTTTGACTTTGTGACAGGAAAGAAGGGGATACTAAAGGAGAAGAGGGAAGGAAAACAAAGGGTGGAGAAGAAAGCTCCCATGGGTTTACTGACTTTCTTTAGAAGAATATTAGAGTGTGCCTTTCAGCTCAGATCAAAGGTCTACCTAGCTAAGTATCTCTCTCCAACAGTATTCAAAAGCAGGTATCTATGGAGCTTTCTCCAGGATGCCCTCTCAGCTTTCCACAGGGACTTGAACCAGAAATGCTGTCCTTTTTATTTCATATCAGTGAAATCTTTCTCTCCACAAATTTATTCAGTCATTTTGAAACCCATACACATTTTTAGCATGCACAACTTCCGCAGCAAGGACTCCCATGGTACAACTATGTGCTAATGCAAAGAACTGCTGCTTGCTTTTTAAGTCTGCCACTTGCTGTTTTCATCTGGTTTTCCTAGTTCTTCAACTGCAAAGCCCAGCTTTATCACACTATCTGTTGTTCATCCCCTTTTCCATATCTCTTACGAACACCTTAAGGAGCACGAGTCTCTACAGAGATTCCTAGACTCGTCTCATGATTCCCCTTCATTACAAAAATTAAATATTCACTTCTACCATCTGCTTCCTATGTATTAAACAATTAAGCAGCCATAAACTTTGACCCAGTATCCCCAGTTTTTGTTTCTAAAGCCCCATTACTTGTTAAGACGTGACAATAGGAATTCAGAAAAGAAATATTTCTGGAGGAGAACAAACTGTAGCAGAGATGTGAGGCTGCAGCTTTCAGTGTTGTTTCCCTTTCTACAAGCTAAGCCACATAAAACTGCAGTTACTAACAAGGTTTCAGGGATTATTTTCATTCCAGAAGATGCATATTAAAAGTGATGAAAACTGAGCAGACTGATACATTTCTATGCTTAGAAAATGTGCCTCACTTTGAAATACAAATTGTTATGACTCAAGTGGAGATAATACAGAGTTATGACATTTCCTTTATAATCCCACAGTGGGCTGGTAGCAGAGGAGAGCAGAGAGCTTAGGAACCCCAGCATCACAACCACTTCTGAGACCACTGGATTACACAGCTGGCCTGTCTCCCCGCTTCGACTGCTTGGCAATGGGCAACAGAGCACCCTATTCTACAAGGACCATGCTACATATGAATTAGATGTGATTTATGCAACAAAATTTAAAACAGATTTTCAGAGCAGAATTATATTCAGATCCAAATCAAAATCAAACTCTTAATTTTAAACATGAAACAAAGCCTACTCACTATTACCCTTTGTAAATGAGTCTATAAAAGCATTTATCCAGCAGCAAAGGCATTGACAAGGCAATCTAAGGGTAATTGCTTTTGGCAGTTGCACACATGTCAATTAACATAATCCGAAAAAGCCACCTGTGAATAAATATCTGCAACTGTATTAAAATCCAAAAGTGACACTGAAGAAAAAGCTAGAGTTAGAGTGCACTGGAAGGAAGCAGCACGAACCCTGCCCTGCTCCCTATACCATAAAGGGTTTGTAGGGTAGAGCGTGAGCAATTTTTCTAATCAACCAGGGGCCTTCGGCTAATTTGCTTTATTTCTTTTGTCTTTGTACCGTACCATCATGGTTTTACAACTGTAACTTAATGATATAGTACAGGCCTGATATGATACAGAGACCCTGAGGAAACCTGGAATGTGGCATAGAGGAGTACAGACAGGGGATGATGAGAGATGGGGCACAGGTTTGACATCAGAGAACCCACAGCTGTAAGCATCTCACCACTGGCCAGTTAGAGAAATGCAGACCTGCAGGCAGGGGAACTGGACAAAGCTGGGTTTAGGGGTAACAAAGAAAACAAAATAATAGTACCGAGCACACTTAAAAAGCATCATATACAGTAACATCAGGTGTAATGTGGAACACCAGACCAAGGAAGAAAGAGAAAGGTGTGAAAGTGTGTTAGCTAACATATAAAAGAAACTCCAAGTGGATCCTAGAGTGAAGAACAAACCATCAACATGGACATCTTATCCTTATCAGTGAAGGACCTCAGATGCTGACAACTTGCCCTAACATCCCCACCAACACCACCAATGACAGCAAAATGAAACCATCAACCTTGGGAACCAGAGGATCAGAAGAAGGGTGAGAACAATACCAGAAAAGGGGTAGGAACTAAGAAGCTTGTATGCAACAATTTTTACTGCATTATTATTATTATTATTATTATTATTGATTTTTTTTCACAGAATTACTTCTTATTTTCTGTAGTAATTACATCTGGACTGATGATAAAGTTTAGACTAAGATTTCAGTCACACTAACATTAAATTCTTAGTTTTATATATATAAGGTGTGCCTTCTTTTTGCCCGTAAACAAGATTTTGAGTGTAACAAAGTTTACAGACTATTTAAAAAAAGAACCACGCTCTGAAACTCCTAACCTTGATCCCATGCATGTTTTTACCCTTTATCAAAGGGTAGCCACATCCAGTTGTGTACAACTAGGAGAGGGTGTTCAAGGGAGGGGTCTCATTGCATCAGTTGGTGGGATTTACCACCCTTCTCCTTTTGACTCATTCCTACTTTACTGCCAGACCCCACTCCCTGACTGCGGCAGCTTGCTTCGGGGCTCCCCGGGCACTAAGTGAAGTAGTTCCCCACAGCAGGGAGCAGGAACATGACTGGCAGGACAGTTATAAAATTGCAGTTATCATCTCTGGTATTTTGAACTAAAAAAACTCTAACTGCCCCGTCCAACCCAAACAATTATGCCTTAGGGCTATCTGGCTATCACACAGATCCTTGGCCAAGTGCTGCATAGTACAGACACAGTTAACCCACTCCAAAAGTGTGCTAAAACCTGAAAAGGGAAGATGGGAGCCAGCACGCACTTGCTGACAAAAGCCCTGGGCTTTTGTCCATATGTGCTCCACAAAGACAGGACAGCCATACCTGGAGCATATGAGCGCCCGTTTGTCTGGCAGGTGGTAGTAGGGACTAGGAAGGTGTTGGTCCTTAGCTCTTTCCAGGGTCCTTCAGCAAAACTCTCATCTCCTGCCTAGACAAACCATACCTCACAGCGCAGAGACTTACTTCAAGAACAACAAAGGTTGAATGTCTTATTTGTTCGATATCCTGGACTCTGGCCAGTGAAGGTAAAGACTGCAACTCTACTTGACCCAATAGTCTACAGAAGTCAGTATAAGAAGCAGACGGCAGCCTTCGGGATGCAAGTGCCATTCCTGTGGGGATGCGCTATAGCAGCCTATGCTAGCAAAGTGCCTGAGGTGACAGAAGATTCATCCCAAAGTACCTAAAACTGTTGGAATCTAATTGGAAGGTGACACAAACATGAAGAGACGAGATGACAAGACAAGATGAGACGAGACGAGACAAGATGAGACCAGATGAGATGAGATGAGATGAGATATTTTGGCAATATTAGCACTAGGCAACACTCATCAAAACTAGTAGATCTTTATTACAAGAAGCAAGGTGGGGAGCAAACATGGGTCAGTCAAGAATACACAATTTTTTACATTGCCTCCTAATTCACATAATAGCACAAAGTCTACTGCTGCGCCACTTGCTGAAAAAGGCAGTCCTGGCATTCCTTTTTATTGGTGTATCTGTGATTTGTCCTTTTGCTATTTCTTTTGCAAGTTCCTGCTCCCTGTAAATCTTTCCAAAGCCAGCACACTGTCCTTACCTTTCCTTAAAACTCCTCTCTGCCACATTAGCTGTAAATAGTCCTTAATAGCACCCAGGTAGTTGGTGTCCTGCCGCCATGGCTCAGAATGATGGCCATTGCTTCCTCATTCTTCTTTTTACTGTGTCAATGTGTTATCTATAAACTATTATTTAAGATGTAATATTTTTGCTCTGACAGCTATTTCCTTGTTCCACATCACACAGAGTTTGTACAACAGGGAAGAGGTCACAAATGCATCCGCAGTACAAGTAAAAAACTGTAACTGTGAATCAACATAATGATTGTACATTCACTAGCAAGATGCTCATGACAAAACCGGCCCTCATACACGTCTCTCAAATTCAAGCACAATTTTGCTGTTACATAATCAGCTTCGGCAAAAAAAATTACAAGTTAACAGACTATTATTAGCATCTCAAAGAGAAGCATTCAGAAGTTAGAAAACATAAGAACTAAGGTTGCTGGGGCAACCTTCAGTTCATCCCATTAGGCACAGGCATTATGATACACAGCTTAGTTCTATAATGACACACTTTGTTTTTTGTAGGTTCCCTGCCTCACTTTAAGCTCTCCCAGGCTTACAAGCATGGACAGAGTTCAGACAATAAGTTGCTACTAGTATTTTGGTTTATGTTGTTCAGCATCTAGAGTCTTTTTTTTTTTCCAATGCACAGCCTAAGTCAGACACCCATCAAAGAACATTTCAATCCAAACAGTCACATTTGAGCGAATTCTATATAAACTGAAGATGGTCTTGCTACAGAAAGAATCAACAGTTTTCCTAAATCTTCCTAAAAAATGGTGCTACTATCCCTGCCTTTAATAATAATAATAATTAACAAGAAGAGGAGTGTGAATAATTATGAGGAATTTATATTAGGAAAAAAGAGACATTGTTGCTAGGGAACTAAGGAAGGGTAGGAGGCATTAAAGAGTTATAAGGAGTTTCTGACCTCCAGGTCACCGTCATAACACTGACCACCCTGGGAGGTGCTCCACTGCTACAGCGAAAAATGCCAGAGTGAGAATTTATGCATGCTAAACATGTTTTACTCTTATGACGGTCTTACATTAAATAAATGAACAGATTATCGTAGTCCCCACAGTGAAAAGACATTAGAAGCCCCTAACAGTCATAATACTTAAATTAAGGATATAGAAAACTCAAGTGACTGTTCTTTTCTGGACCTTTCTTCCAGGATGTGTTTATGACAGCAGCACCTAGAAATTCCTCCCCGGCCCAGACATTGACTGTGCTACAAGACAAACTGGCTATTGACTATTGCAAAGATACAGTAATCCAACAGGATGATACAGATGAAGAGAGGAAACAGCTGAAAAGTGATGCTTTAAATGACATTTAATTTTCCTTTCCCTTGCCACAGCTCCCTCTAATGCAGACAAGTCATCAGGAGATGCAAATAGCCGTAAAATC